CCGGTTTCTCAAACTTACCTACCCCACCTTTAAATGCAAAACTATAGAACAGGTATAATAGCCTGGAAAGTTGAGAAAAAATCAGCCTTTAAAACCAGGAGAAAACAACAACCATGCCTGATATATCGATATTATGTTATTATTATTATTATTATTATATTTAAATTACGATATTCAAAATCTTATATGATATCAAGTCTAGTATGATTAAAACAATATATAGCCGAGTCTCTAAGATGCTTTACCAGCTACTTGTGTCTCTCTTTTTCTCTTTATGTGTTTGCCCTATAGCAGTTGCATACACTAAAAGTCAAATGAATTTAAAATGCAATCGGGGAATTCCTGACAGAAACACCTGAAGCTAACCAAATTAAACTGAGGTGAGGAAGAGCACAGTCTTGAAGCTTTGTAAGATCACGTGCACACTCGGTTCCACTGCCAACCAATCTGTCAGTCTGAAAGCATCGCTACACAAACTCTCACACAATCAATCAACAGCAGTTTAAACACATAGTTTATTAAGTGCCACTGCTGTACATAGAGAAACAAGTCCCACAGCCTGAGGCCAGCAGGTGCAAAAATGCGCTGTTCCACTTTGTTTACTTGTGAGCTGGTGGCTCTGTGTGGAAGTAATCCAGGTCTCTCCACGGAAGAGGACGTTTTGACAGGTGAGCTGCTCGTCTTCCTGCCTCTTGCCAAAGCTCGGCCACGCTCTGTGGAGCTTCACAAAAACGGTGCTTTGTCAAAGTGCCCTGCGCCTCGTTTATTGACGCTCACCTGTCAGGGACATTTTCACACGTCGTCCTGCAGAAGGACCACAACAGGCAGTGGTTGTGTGTAAAACAAAGGCTCCTTTGAGAACGGCAGCTGTCGGTGTTATTCTAGATTCAAAACAAGCGGCAGGATTTCAGGGAAACATTTGTAATGATGTTGTAATGATGTTACATTGGGAGATAATCTGTATTTTTTGTTGGACTGTGTAGAAACTAAAGTTAAATGATAAAAAACGAGTTTGATTCAAATCTGTTATTCTTCTTCGAAGTTGAGCATATTCTGAGCCGTGCCCTGAGGAGCATGTTTACTGTAAACCAGCTGAACTTCCCTATTGTAACAGCAAACACTACAATTTACTGTACATGGACAGTTTACCCAACAGTCAAAATCAAAAATATTGTTTTCCTCTACCCTGAACTGACATATATCCAACTAGATTGATATATTTTGATCTGCAGTGTTGAAGAGTGTCTGTCATCTATGAAATATAATCAAACATGATGGCTTGTAATGCAAAGTTTAAAAAAAAAAAACAACCCCAATATCACTTTAAAGCTATTTAATAAACCTGACTGTCTTTTATTTTGTGCAGGCGCTGAACGGGTTTGTGATCGTGGTCACGTCAGACGGATCCGTGTTTTATGTTTCCTCCACAATTAAGGACTACCTGGGCTTTCATGAGGTGAGATGCTGTCTTAATCATTTTATAAACATTATTTATTTGTAGCATTGATGGTTCCCACAGTTAAAGTCCTTGAAAGTGTGTACATTTGAGAGGTGAAAAAATCAAGGCCTTAACAGATTTAAGGTGTGTGGCGCAGTGGATAGTGCATTGGTGTCGGGTCACAGGTTCAAACCCCCCTGCAGTCAGCATGTCGTTGTGCCCCTGAGACACTTCGCCCCAAATTGCTCCTGTGTGGATTGCCCACAGTATTGAAGTATGTAAGTCCCCTTGGATAAAAGTGTCTAACATGTAACAGTAATTTAAGAAGCAGCCATTAATAGACATGTGTTAATGAAATTATAAGAATGTATATATATTGTTTAAGAAATGAAATAAATGTTGTTTTACTTTGCTATTCAACTTGTTAAGAGGTCGATGTCTCCATCACTGAAAGGCAGTATTTGAACAATAATCCATGTGTTAAATTATGCCGTTTTGGTTGCTGGCTCTGGAAGGAAATTGGGCCTAAAAAGTCCTTTAATTAGATGTTCATGAAGGTGTAGGAGTGTTCAAAAGGCAGCCCTTGTAGAGGTCAAATGTTGGCCTATTTGAAGTTTGTAAGTTACATTTAAGAGAGGGGTGACACATTTAAATGGTGGCTAACAATTGAATCCAAAAAACTCCTATCCATATTTAATCTCTATGAACTATTCACCAAACCATCTATTGACCCATTGTGTGCTGTATAGACCAAACCATAAAGCATGTTTCAGCATGTTGTAAACACTTGTGGTTAAGCAAGAAAAGAAAGGCTAAATATATGAGAACTCTTTCACAGGAAGTAGATCCCTAATAGGTGTAAATGACATGAGTTGCTGATGAAGTGTTGCGTCTCCTCTCCTCAGTCGGATGTGGTCCATCAGAGCGTGTTTGAGCTCATTCACACTGACGACCGGTCCTTGTTCAGACAGCAGCTCCACTTTGCCCTGAACCCCGCCACTGCTGCAGCGGGAGGTGATGGTAAGAACTGTGAATGATTCTTCTTCAGCTCACTCTCATTCAAGATTCAAGATTCAAGGCTTTTATTGTAATTCGTACATAGTAGGGATGGGAACGAATATTCGAAATTATTCAGGTATTCGAATATGAGTTATGAATATTTTTATTGCATATTTTTTTTAAATAATTTTTTTTAAATAATTTTTTTTGGGAGGGGTGCCTAATTTGATTACATATTATCAAATGGAAAAATTCAATGTATACGACAGTGCCATAGCTAAATGTTTTAGGTCGAAAGGTGTGTTTTGCTCTGCTCACCGGTCCCTCACAGCGGGCAGAGCTGCAGGAGCTGATCTCTCTCTCGCGTCCGGTTAAATTTCACTCGCGTTTATGTTCAAATCCATCAGAAAACCAAGTTATGTTGTAAGCATGAAAGCTGTAGGCCTATAGCTATCAACTGTTCAAACTGTGATCACCAGTTCAAGACATTTGACAAATTCGACTTGGTTTCTATACTTATTTGAACATGTATTTATTTATTTTTCAAAATTATTGGAATTTTTTTGGAAATTTTTTTTCCCACATTTTTTTCTTTTTATAGGATATGTACATTTCAGTTAATTGGTTAACCGTTTTTTTTGGGGGTTGAATATTCAAATATACATTTGCTTTCAAATTCCCATCCCTAGTACATAGCTACAGTGTAGTTATGTCGATGAAAATCTTAGGTCACAGGCTCCTCCAACAGTGCAACACAATACAGCAGATAAAATAATGCAAGTAAATACAATCAAATCGAATATAAGTAGTGCCATAAGAGTCTATATACAAGTGATACATAATGTGTAAGTTACAAACAGATGAATGTTATGGACGTTCTTAAATCAATGTTTGGGGTAAATGATTCTGATGTGTAACGTGTGATCTCTACCCGTGTGCTCAGTCATGAAGACCTCTGGGAGTACGGTGATGTACAACCCTGATCAGCTTCCTCCAGAGAACTCGTCCTTCCTGGAGAGGAGCTTCGTGTGTCGCTTCCGCTGCCTGCTGGACAACTCCTCTGGATTTCTGGTTAGTACAACAAATGCGAAAAGCAAGTTAAATTGTCCGAAAAATGTGATGTAATGTGGTTCGTTTACGTTTGTTTGAATTCAATAAAAGCCACTCTTAAACAACATCTCAGAAGCCCCTACAGCAGGGGTGTCCATTATTAACACATGAATACTACTGTGTAATATATTTATACATTTATAGTTAAGAAGTACAATATAAGACGAGCAGAAGTTTATCTTAAGTCATTATACTTTTTGAATTTGCTGAGGGCCGATTCAATATGGTCCACGGGCCGTATTTGGCCCCCGGGCCCTAGTTTGGACACCCCTGCCCTACTGGAAACACATGAACTTTTATATCTTGTTCAAATCAAAAATCTTTTTATTGAGTTTCGACAATCAATAAGCAGTGTTTGTCATATAGTAATGGTAAACATAATGTATGCCAATGCAAATGAGCGATTGGTCTGTGCTGATTGTATGTACAAAAGGAAAAATAAAAAACAAGAAAAACACAGACAAACAATAACAACGACTAAAGTAATCCCCTATCACTGCCAGTGATCCTTATACACACGAATATATGCCAGACATATTGTTGGATGAGTATATATGCATGTAAAACAAATGCATATACACACATGCATACACACATGAAACCTACACATACACATTTGCTGTATACATACATACATACATACATACATACATACATACATACATACATACATACATACATACATACATACATACATACATACAAACAAACAAACATACATACATACATACATACATACATATGCTGGTACATACATACATACATACATACATACATACATACATACATACATACATACATACATACATACATACATACATACATACATACATACATACATACATACATATGCTGCACTTCATACAGGACATAACATCTGCCAACCACTGTAGATGAGTGGGCGGGAAACTGTCTATCCATCTAAGCAGGATGGCTCGACGAGCTAAGAGGAGAGCAAAAGACAGAGATCGCCGCCATTCTGCAGTTAAACGCATCTCCTTACCTATTACCCCAAATAGGGCAGCCAGAGGATTTGGATCCAGTTCAATACTGAGCACTTGGGATAGAGTTTGGAAAATCTCCGTCCACTACATGCTTAGGCGGGGACCAGTACATATGAATGAGAGAGGCTTCATTAATTTGGTATTTATCACAGTAGGGACACACATCAGTGATGCTATGCTTCAATAGCATGCATGTGAATTATTTCTATAAATTGCTCTCTATAAAACAAACATGTGCAAAAGTAAGTTACTTGTTACTGAGAGAGAATATACGAAAGGCTAACGGATATCATCTGGCAACTGTGCTTTCACCCCGGTGGCGCTAACAAGCCATGAGGACTGGCTGTGAAAGGTCAGAGAGAGAGGGCAGGCGTGGATGGATACTCTAATTCCAATGTAACACCAAGAAGCTAACAACTCTGAAATGTATAACTTTTTCATTTGAGCACTGGTTTGTTTTTCCATTCCGTATACATGTGCAAATTATATCATCTGTGTTTACACTTCTTTTATTATAGGACATGATATACCATGCCAGAGAAAATCTTCTGTATATTATCTAGTTTACCTAGATATCAGGCTCTTGTTATTCAGCCCTGCGCCAACACAGTTCTTGTTAATCTCTTTGACAAACATTGCATCTCCAGTGTGCCATAAATCAAAGCAGGATACAGTTGTGGCTCCATCAGTAGGGTTTAATCTGAATGTATCAGCCGGTGTCAACTCCATACGCCTTCTGTGTGTGGAGCTCTCTATTGCAAATTGCCAGATTTCTTTTTTGTCTTGTGAATGACATAGGGTGTTGTTGACCAATCTGCAACAAAGCCAGCTGGTCGGAGTGTAAACAAAAGACTGGCGGACTATTATAAGCTTAAAAATAGAGCATTACAATGAACATGTACATCATGACATGATACTCTTACAGCATCTTAACATTAGTGTGTGGAAATCCATTTAAACCAACTCTGAAAAAGACAAAAATGTAAACTCACAGTTTATATGCATCCATTCCCCTCCAACTAACTAAATCCAGGAGTCATTTATTTCATGGAATTTGAAAGAGCACTACACAATACTGCAGTTTCACATATCATCTCATACATCAGAGTGAATCTGTGTCTAAATGGGAGTGGTGGACAATTGAGTTTTCAGTGGAACATTACTGCCATCTAGTGTGTGCTATTAGTAGCTGCTGGGCCTGAAGACAACACTGCCGGACATGTTTGTGTTGCTCTGCCATTTTATATTGTTTCTTGATTGAAAATTGAAAAAGGGAGCTATGGGTCAATAAATCATAGGAAAAACAACTGGAAATTGCTCCTGCCTTCTTCAACAACAAGCTGAAGCACTTAACTCCCCAGTGAACTTGTCGTAAACAACTGAAGACTGCCGGTCTTTGTGGATTTGTGTGCACTGTGTTGTGAAGGAGTGTGGCGATTAGCCAGATCATGCATGTTTAGTCAACTAGAGAAAGAAAACATGGTTGTGTGCAATTTCCTTTCCTTTTCTTTCTTTTTCTTATTTTTAGGGTAGGCGGGGTATTTTCACTTGGTAGGATATTGCTGTATTACTATTTTTGGTCAAATACCATGACTGTAAATAGGCTAATACTAAAACAGCTGGATATCACAAGAAAAAGGTGTCTATTATGCCCACACACGTAAGACTGCATGAAAAAATAAATAATTTGAATATATAATATATCATTGTTTTTATATTGAATTTGTTTTAAGTACAACAAGAAGCAAATACACATAATGTATGTATTTATATAAAAGTATACAAAAGCATTTAGACATTATATATGTGGCAATTCCCTTTTCCTGATAACTTTTACTTAAGCGTTACATATCTGTACACCTTTATTTCTGAAGGGAGTACCCGCCATATTTTAGAATGTAAAAACAGAAAGAAAATCAACCTGTTTAATATTATATACAATGTTGAACAATGTGACTATCATTATTCTACAAGAGCTCACCATGCAGACTTTACTGTGAGCCAGGATTTCTGCACTATGAATTGGACTTTCATCAGCCAGCAGAGGGTGGTACTAATGTATAGCCTACGGTTAGCGGGGTCATGGTATTCAAATGATCTAAAAGATGGTCTGGAAGTTTCAACAGACAACTTGCAGGAAATGAATAACTCCCACGCCCATATTAAGCCAGCAAATGAACAGATGGAGTGGTGCAGTAGTGAAAACTGGGAATTAAATATAAATGATTGTCATACTTCCTCAATTTTTGCTTATTTTGAGAATGTTTGTATGAGAAGGTAATTAAGGGCAATGATGTTGAGAGTTAGAAAATGTACATGAACTTAATTTTTCTAATCTCACAACACCTTGAGGTGTTTCTGTCCCACAGTGTTTACCAGCCGGCTCTCAGTCCCAGCAGAAATGTAAAATCAATCAAGCAGCACTGAATTATTTCTCGAGTGTGTACCAGTTGTTATTTTTCCCTCAGAATTGTTATGTCGTTTTCCCCTTTTGTCTAACATCCCAACAAATGAGACCGGAATTCCAATTTATTGGACCAGAAAGAAACAATGCTGGTTAACACTGCAATCAGCAATGTATTTCTGTGTCTTTTCAAGCAATTTAAGCGAGTATAAATACTTGAGTAAATGTACATTTGTTATACTGTCTGTGAGTAGAACAATTACAAAAACCTATATGATGCAATGTAGTGAAATACTGAAGTAAATACTACTTTACCTGTTGAAACGTTTTTTACTGTTTGTGTAATGACTCAATAGTTTCAACTGATTGCATAAAGAACTTCAAACCAAGGGTTACAGATTAGTTCACAGTTGCAGATAGAAGATAAAAGCATTGGAATAGATAAATAACAAGCAATACTATTTAACAAAACAGGAAAACTTAAGGTAGAGAAACTTCAGGATACTGAGATAAGAATGGAAACACTTTGCATATTGTGCAGCCCTCAAAGGATATAAGAGTGCAATGTGTATGTATTGATTGATTGATTTACTTGCGATTGATTGCAACAAACTCAACTCTCAACAAAACCATGATCAATAATCAACACAAAAACAGACACTGTTATACAATAATAAAGACCAGCTTTATTGTTGTCCTCTTACAATAGCTAGATACATTTAAGGCCTTTCCAATAAATTGGATACAAGTGGTAAATCTGTTGTGAAACAAACATTGCATCACACATTGTTCTAATAATCATTTCAGCAAAAATGATTTCCCCCCCTACACAGAACAGTTATTAATAGGAGTGCCTGGAGTGTCAGCATGTTTTGTCAAATGTGACGAACACTTCTATAATATCTAGCAATAAGTGAGGTTCAGGTCTACGCCAACAACTATATCTGCAGCTTGTATGTTTTCTTTTTGTCCAACATGAAATTGTAAGAATGAAAAGTCTTCATATTAATGACCGGATTCACTCCACTGACAAAACTGAAACGAATGAATTTTCATTCTGACTATCATTAGAAATTGCCTGAGATAAAGATAATAATATCAACATCTTAACATTAAACAGAATAGTTCATTAGACTGGGATGTCGAAAAGGTAAATGGCATGCATTGACTTGAAAAAGCTTTGGACAGTTTCTCATGAAATACTATATTTGAAGTTGCTTGTTTTTCTCCAGGAAAGTGTCACATGACGCAATGAGGAGATTATGCAAAATGATTAAATCCAGTTGCAATATTGCTCCCACAACACATACACAATATTGATAAAGTAATATCCAATTCTCTTAGCCTACTGTTAAACTAATCAGAGCAATTGTATCTGCTTTTCACCAGCAGCACTTCTAAGAGCAGTTTCTCATAGAGATGAATAGTTAGCTCTGTTATAACCACCACTTAAATCATAAGTGACCTGAGGTATGGAGCAGTCTGTGAAGAAGTTTGGGAAGGCCAAAGTGCACAGTGCGTTGTCCTCTATGGACCCAGTCTCAGAGGGACAGTAGAGAGGAGGCTGGGCTGGGCCCGTACGAAGGCTCTCTTCTAGTTTCTTAGAGGGTCCCGAGCAGCTAGTCCAGGGCTCGGAGTACAGCAGTCCACCAACTAAATGATGAGCATCGTATGAAGCAGGATCCAGGCCTCCCATCTCTGGCAGCACACGGACCGGCATACTTTGATAAAGGTCCTGGTCGCTCACCATGTTGCTATAATCAGGCCCCAAGAGCTCGAAGAACTCCGCAGCCTCAGGATTTCCTCGCTCCAAGTCCTTCAGCGTCATCCCAGATGTGGAGCTGACTTTTGAGCAGTTGGCAGGCTCGGTGAAGAAAGAGGGGGGCAGATTGCGATGCCTTAGGGGTGGTTTCTTGGCTTTTTCACCTCTTATATCCTTCACAGGGCTGAACAGGGCTGCCAGGCTCTTGCTCTGTAAGTTTGCCTGGACTCCATCGCGTTTAGGCAGAGTTTTGCTCTGCAAAGGGCTGGGTTGAGCCAGGGGGGAACCCTGTCTTTTAACAGCAGCATCTGCTACATTTCCTGGGGTTATGATGCCGGTGCACCTTTTGATCTGCTTCTGTAGATACTTCCGGTGGTTGACTTTCCTCTTGGATTTCACCGGCTTGTCCAAAGCCAGCTTGATATTGCTGGAGGCTGAGTCTATGAAGCTCAGCAGGTCCCTAGTGGTCTCCTTGTAGTCCTCGTCATTTTCTGCCTCACCGAGGAGACTCCCATCCAGGCCTTTCTCCACCTCGTACTCCATCACAGAACCAGGGAAGCAGAAACTCATGAACTGAGGGTTCATGATTGCAGTCTGAACAGCCATTACTCTGTTGAGCCCAGCGGCTAGACCTGTGGCATCCGCTGTGATCCTTGAACTAAAAGTTTCTTCACAGCATGTCTCTCTCCAAACACCTGGGCCTGATGCAGCTCATGAAGTTGCTGCACACATTCCAGAGTAGAAGTGACGGGCTCTGAGAAAAGCAAGGAGATCTTTCGGGGGGCTGGACTAATGATGTCAGAACATCAAAGAGGAGGGGCAAAGAGAGCGCAGGACTTAACTCTTTGCTTGTGCCTGACCACCTGCATCTAAGAGGGATTTGTCTGAAATTCCCTGCTGTGTTGAAGACAATAAACTCTGTCAGAACTCTCCCCCTCTAGTTTAACTGTTTGTGTGTGCTCTGAACCAAAAACGCTTTCATGAAACTGAAGGAAATGACTGTAACAGTGAGCAGAAAACCTTTGAAATACACATTTTTCTGGGTAGAATTACTAAACCAAAATCTGTCTTTTAAACTATTTGTTACATGATTATTAAACAAACAACAACAAATAACTAAACCAATTTCTTCAGCAGTAACATTTTCTCCAAAAATCCACAACTAATATCATTATTCGTGTGATTCCTGGTTGCTTTTCAAAACATTTGAACCATCATTCAAACACCATTATGTGTTTCCTTTCTGGATTGACAAATGGAAGTTAAGTTGTAATCTAATTACTGCTCATTTAGGCACTGAAACAAACCACAAACCAAGGCTCTACAGTAGTGAGAAAGGCTTCTATTCTGTGGGAAAATCTGTGTGCACAAACAGATGCCACTATTAGGGGGAATCTTCCCAACTGCTCGCTTGTGTCTTAATCTGCTCATGGCAAAAGTTGATTTCTTGTGCAATCCCAGGCCAGTGGGAATTTCTGCCCTGGCCTGACAACTATTATGGGCTGCCTTTGACATAAAGCCCTACAGGGTCTAAATAGCCTCTATTCTTCGCCCGGCAGTGAAAGGGAGCTTTGTGCCAGAGATTCATTAAATTGCACCTCACAGCCCCTTCGTAAAATGGGTCTCAATAATGAACAGTCGATTTAACTAGAAAAGCTGCCGGAGCTGTTAAATTAAAGGGGAATATAGTGCAGTTCAGGCTCAGTGTGCCAGAAGAAATGTTGACCTTAAGAAATCCTGGGTATGAAACTTCTGTTGTAAACAATAACGTATTTACAGGAAGTTTGTTGGCCGGCAGTGAATACAACGAAGGATGTGTCCAAGAGCCAGATTGTTACGCTGCCAGCACTTATCCCAATTTAAGTGGAATTTGTTTGGAAGAGTTTCAAGAGTATAGACTATAAGACATAGTTTAACCACACACTCAAAATGTACAGCATTTACACATATTTGTATTTGTTAGGCAGAGAATGCAGAAAACTCATTTTATGATTATTATTACAATACGTTATTGCTGAATAAAAAGATCCCCCCTCTTACTGAAGTGCATGTTGAGGTGAGGCAGTGACTAATTTAAGAGTTGAAAAGAAAAGTCTGAAGCAGAAGGGGAGTGAGGCCGTAAAAAAATTCTTTCTTATGTTAATTCCTGGGGAGAAACAGCAAAAGTGATAGCATTGATCTAATTATCTGCGGCTTAACACAAGTCTGTGACTGAAAATACAGAACAACTCAAATCTAAAAGCAACAACTTGTCGCAAAATAAAGAATATATTTTCCATTTCTACAGATGGCCTTTTGATTTGACTAGAAAAACAAGAATTCATGTGTGGGAACTGCAGAGACTTTGCATATTCAACTCTACTGGAGTAATTGCCCAAAGAAATGGTTGCAAATTCAACATTTAGTTCTTCACAGTGATAAGTGTCGGAGGAAAACGGAGCTGAGGCCGCATCACAACAACTCGTGAATTCAGGAGTGAGCTTTCAACGCCTGCTCAAAGTGATTCTGCCTCCCTCTCTTAGCTAGCAGCACAATTTTGGCAAAGTGACATCATCACAGGCAGCTATATCCCCCCTTTTTTCCCAGTCAAGGGACTTTGCTTTTGTGCTGGTGGGTCATTCACATCAGAGAGCCTGACGCACAGACCCCGGAAACAAGTTTCTATTGTTGCTTAAAGGCTGAGAGGGAGGGGATGGGTGGGGGCAGAGCAGCTCGGAAACAACATATAAACTGAGAGCATTTGACTTGTTTCTACTCCTGAGACACTTAGTATGAGGTCAATTGTTAATTTATTCCTTTAATATATTTTATTTGGCCAGAATCAATGAGGTCAAACGATTGCATTCTCTAAATCTCATTTGGTTTGGTGCTTTGGGGGAATTTTAATTTGGAGAAAAGCATTAGTAGTCTGCAGTGCCTTTTCCAATAATCACATTGCTACACAAGACCCATATTTTTTGGATAAAGTCAAACACTACAACCACACCCTCTGTCCCTGGGAATGTCCTTATTCCGCAGCACCCAACTTAGAGGGAGAAGGGTGCAACGTGATGTGACACACACAGGCTTAATCTCTTCCTACTACTGTGTGGTCCCTTGTCTGAGCAGGGACATACTCAGAGTTTGGGGTCGAGAGAATACTAATAACACCTTTGATTGATGGCCAGTGTCAGAGACTAAGAAAAGGCTGGCAAAATTAATGACCTCTCAAAGTCCTGAGAAAAGTTTTAAGGATGGCATTTAGTCCGTCCTCCCCCATGTTTAGCTAGGTTTCTTTCTACTGGGATGTCTGAAATCCAGTCAAGCCTGTGACAAAATGCGGAGAAGTCAGGCTTTGTGCCTCCCGGTAGAAAATCATCCCACATACCAGTGCAGGACATGTTCCCCATCTGCTTCACAAAGTCATGTTATGTCAGAGCTTTAAAAGAAAGGGGGGGCAAGAATAGTTCAAAGGAAATAAAAAAAAAAGCAAGAGTGTTCATCGCCCGTCTTAGTATTTTTGTGACATTTGAATATTTTAGCTTGACATTTAAAAAAGAGGGAATAAAAAGGAGAACTACAAAAGGATTCTTGGTTTCTGCCTTCCCTCATCCACTCACCGCTTCACTCTTAACCTTCCATCCGCCCCTCTCCACCTCCCTGGCACCCCAGGAGTTGTATTAATAATATTACTAGCAGGGGGGAACAAACCAGGGTCTATGGGCTGGCTCTGTGCTGCAATTTAGGGCTTTAATGGCAGGCAGTGAATGAATGCGTGCCAGGGGGAATCCCACAGGTTGGTCGGCAGGGGTGAGGTCAGCAGGCGTAGCTGCAATAATCTCCCACCACTGACTTTATTGGCCTCCTCCGATTGGGCTTTTATTAAATCTCAGCCGCATGCAATTGTTCCTGCTAGGTGGAAGTAACTCTTAAGTCTCAGTGTCTCTAAAACAAGACAAAGAGTGGGCTCAACATAGCAACAGTACATCTAAACATGATTAAAAGACACTAAGAAAGACTATATGACCGTATCATAAGCAGGTTTTTAATCAGTTAGTATGGAAGACTTCTTTGGAACGACAGCATTTTAGATAAAGCTAGTATAAGACATAAATAGACATCTTAAAAAGGCCAGGAGGACACTGTTCTGTGAACAATAACATATCAAATTTAATAGCAGACTTTGTGCAGAGTATGTTTAAAACAAACAGAATGATTTTCTTTCTATTTGGTGCCAAACTATTCTCCTGAGAAGTCTTAGAAATGTCAAGAACTAACATCAGACTGTACACTCATTTGAAAGAACAAATAGATCTGAGTCTCAACAACAAGAACAACAAATCCCTTAGTTGCTGACAAAAATTGAATACAAGATTTGAATAACTGAGTGTATCTGTGATTATTACACTGACAACAGGAAAACACTAGCTTGGAGGCAGAGAGGCCATAATGGGTTTTTGGCAAATTTTACAGGGTAGAAAAAGAACAAGGCGAGGATGATCCAGTCTTTTCATGATGATAATGTGATTACATGATTGAACAAAGGAAGACATTTAGACAGCACTGTTATCATAAGCATATCTCGTTTTTCTCTCATACCCCTGTAGCCCTTTGACATTTAAAAGTTTGGCATAAAGAAATGGAGTGTGCTTCTATCGGACAAAGAAAATGATTAAGATTCTAAAACACCACCATTTGATTAATGACATGGTTATTAAAATTAAAAAGGGTTGTTGATTTTTTTTAATTTATAAAAAGGTCATCTTTCAAAGTGAAAAAAATCTTCCCCCACATTAATTAAAAAAGGCACACAACTTGGCATAATGATCCAGAGGTCACCCTGTTGAATACCATGTCAGATCAATTAAAGCTAGGTAATCCTGGTAGGGGGACATTGTGCTGCTTTCAGGGTCTGGGGGGGGGACGCAGTTTGGCCTGGCTTATCCACTCTCGGAAATACTTCACCTCTAACGCCCGGGCATGGCGGACTGGAGCTGTGTCCTGGGCGTTGCTGTAGCGGAGGTCCAAGTGATGGGCGCCGTCAGGAATCATTATGGACACCAGAGAATCTGTGATGTTGTGGGTCACTCCGCCAGAAGACCACGGGTCCAGTCCTCCGTTACTGAAATACAACAGCATAGGATCAGACAATGTTTACCACGAGGTCGACTCAGGGTATTTAGAGCTACACAATAATTGGGGACTTTGGTAGAATTGTTTTGCAAAGTATACATTTTATGCACATAAATGTTTGTTTTTTCTTTATCTTCTAAGCTACACAAAATTAACAGGTGGTTCATTTATGTAATTACTTAATTAAACTTGACTTTCAAGTCCAACTGGTATTTCCAAGTACGATTATTGTTGTAAAAAGTCAATCGGATCCCTTTCATTTTCCCAAAGAGCCTTATAACTGCCAAGAATACAGTGATATGATAAAAAAGCTTATTCAAATAGTAGACGGAATGCCAACTTAAGGTTTCAAACACTCTTAAGCCCGTAACTCATTAGCAAAATAGTTATTTTTCCAGTTGTTCTATTTCTGCTACCAGATAATACATACTGATAGCTAACAGGGAAAACATCAGGCCTATCCTCTTCCTGTTTTGGTTGCAAAATGGTTGAAGAGCCTTAGCATTCATTTTCCAGAAGATCATAAACCAGAGGCTGCCAGTTGTATAGTGTAAGCTAGGCTAATAGAAACCCAATGTAATTGCAGATTGTGTTATTATTCCGTAGCCATTATATCAACATTTACCTAATAAGGACAAGCTAAAAGAAAAACATGTCACTTTAAACCGCCAGAAATTCCCACCAAAAAAACATGTGGCCATGGACATAAAATACAGAATATGAAAAAGACAAAATGTGCTACACAATATAATAAAACACTCAACTGTGTATGTCAGCATCTGTCAACCTCTCATGTGGGCGGTAAGATACTGCTGTTCCTATTTTTGAGCGCCTTTCTTTAATGAGTGGCATTTGTTATGACATGTATTTCAGTTGCTTTGAAAGCTCACACGTTGCATTTCTGAGTGCCACCCTGTTTATTGCTTGACTAAAGCTGCTAATTGGTAGTTAACCTAACAAGACCCACCTCAGTGTTTGTGATTGAGCCACATCAGAGTCAGTCCTTTTTCATTTAAGTTTTACATACTTCATTCTACCTCATGTGGCTACCCAGGTGGATACTTTTTGTGAGTCTGCAATAAAAGCCAGTCAGAATCTGCAGTTTAAAGACTCTGACTGCGCCTGCCAAATCCAGGAAACACAGGGAGCCTTCTGTCTGCCATTTTATTTTTACCTGAAGATGATGTTGCTGTGGGAGGCGATGTCCTTCGCCCCATAGACTGTGCCTGCCCAGTCAGCTCGCGGCCTGACACCAAACATGGCGTAGCACTCATCAGAAAAGGCCTGGAAGTTCCACTCCTCGGGTTCAAACATATCCTGGACGCCATCTGTGCACATGGGCATTACCATCTCTGTGCAGGCCTGGGAGAGAGGGAGTGAACACATATTCATTGTGACAGGTAAAGCTGCCCTGTGCCACATCTGGGCTGTGATTCATTCAAAATGACACGCCTGATCCCTGCGCTGTGTGTCAGCTCACCTGGTAAAACCAGCCGAGGAGGCCCAGGCTGCCGGTCGCTGTCTGAGACGTGTTGAGACAGGAGGAGCTTCCGGTGTAGTTGTAGTAGACCTTTGCTGCCTCCGAGACACCGTGCAGCAGCTGGAAGTCGGACACAGAGGGATCCAAAGCAAGATGCTTGCAGACCACCTTGGAAATGATAACACAGGAACAAGAAAACACCAAGAATTAACAAGAAGTTTGTGATTGCGTTAGAGTTTAGACAAGCTGTATACCTTCCTGTGGTCCTCAGATCAATGATCTCAATTATGTTGGGATAGGGGGGAATTTGATCCAACTGCAACAAAAACCTTACTTTTATTATAAATGTATAATATCCACGTCTTCCCGTGTTGCATTTGTAAATGTATAAAACGTTTTAGCTATTTATTATCTAAGAAATTAGGTTTTCTATTGACCATACATTCCAAAAAGAAGACTCAAACTTGTGATAATGAGAATAAAACCCAAGTCTAACACAACATTTATATTTAATTAGAATTTTGGAGGACAATAATTGTTGACCGGTTGACGGGAAAACAACAAAAAGTTACAGATAAATACAGCGGCATGCCTTTTTCTTTTTTAAACTTAGAAATATAAATATCTTGTTCCCGTATGGTTCTCCATATTGTTTACAAGACTGGACCTTGTTTTCTTGTGGCCCATAAAGTGTTTTTCCACATAAAAAGTGGTGGCGCCTGATTAGCATATGAAATTCCTTGGAATCAACTTGAATTTATGGCTCTAATCTTGGCACGGGAGGAAAAAAGCGTCCATTAACTTTAAGGCAATGATCTACATTTTGCTAAGCTTTGCTGTCCGTACGGCTATTTTGTTAACCATGGTCGATCTCTCGGAATAAGTAGCATGGATGATAAATATTTGCGTTTCAGCTTTTGTTTAATTTCACTGCGAGTTGTTATGGTTGCAGTGGCAGAGTTGGCTGTTGTTCTGCACTCTTTGTGAGGCGGAGAAACTGGGCTTTCTTGTATGGAGGTTGGAGGGGAGCTGAGCTAGTGTGGAGTCTGTTACTAAGGCTTTTGTCTGAGGACTGGGGAGGAGTTGGTGGTCGATGGATGAGGAGGGCCACAGACATGTCCAACCAAAGATTTATACTGTGAAAAAAAACACTGCAATTGCTCCAAAGCATCTTCTCCCTACTTTTCAGATAGGATTAGGCTTATACATTCATCTCTGCCAACAGATTTCCCTCCTCTAAGCCCTCAATACCCCGTTCTCACACTCACTCAGATAATCACATTAGCTTTGTCATTAAAAAAGCTCCTCTTTGCACCCACTGCCTAAACCGCTTAAACCACCCATAGGGGTCGCATACATTAAAGGCACAGAGCCAAAAAACTCAAAATGACCATTTAGGGTTTATTTCACCTGACATGGTTCTCCTGGGTCTATTCAGCGGCTCAACGATAACCAAATAAGCAGACAAAAAATGTATCACACGACTAAAAGTTTTAGAAAGTCTGCTGGAGGAGGGGTGTCGAAGCACCAAAACAGAGTTGGGGGGTCAGCAGCAGAGCTTGGTTTATTCACGTGACATGCCAAGGTGACATCTAGAATACACTGAACTGAAGTCAATCAGCCTCCGCAAGACAACCGCTATACTGTCACCGGCTCTTTTACATAAAAACTGTTGGAGCTACATATTGCTTTATATTATTTAATAGTTAAACATTTACTTTTCTTGCTATTTGTGTTTATAGTAAATGTATTCTTGGTTAGTATCGTTATTGAAGTGAGTTAAAATAGTAGTTCTCTTATTTTGAAGGCATGTTTGGGCATGGGGTGATTAGAGCATCTGGTGTAATGCTATATATTGGAGACAGGTGGCGGTGGGAGTAGAGCACTAGTAGGCACACTGTTTTTTACCAGTGTAATTCAAGCAGGATAAAGAAGAAAAGACATAGGAAAGGCATATAGGAAACCTGTTCATTGTTCTTTTGTAAATTATATTGGATCATGGAATAAAATGCACAAATGGAGATTCTTGTCTGGACTTGGATCATTGCCCTGCGTAAGATTCGCTAACTCGTGCCTCAGCGGCAGTGATATTTTAAGTTTATGATCCGTTTTATTTCTATATGATTTTGGTCGCTACAAAAACAAATGACTTTTTGTAATGTTGTGAGTTAAAAAAAGAAAGAAAGTAATGAAAGTTGCTTTGTTTTTGCAATTTTGGCAAGTTATGTGATTATTTTTTCCCAAAAAAGTGTCCATTGAAGTATGTGTAACAGTGTCTTTATAAATGAGAGCGGTGAGCTTTTTGTTTTGATGGCCTCACAAGCTGCTCTGGGCAAGTGTCCTCTTTCTGTGCCGCCATGTGAGCGTCCTCAGAGGAACACCTCAGAGATCTGAGGGAGTGTGCAGATGAAAGGGGCATTGGTATGACACACCAAAAGAATAGTGGCTTACTTGTCGCTGCTCATCTAAAGAATACTTAAAATCTAAAAAGGAAACCAGACCCCTTATGAATATTAATGAAGTTAATTGACAGCTTTTGTAAACAAAGGCTTCAACGACCACAACAAACACTTCGGCGTCTGAATCACGATTCACTGCAATTTAGGGCAGGCCAAGTCAGCCGCTTCACCAAGGACAAACTTCATTTCAAAAGTAAACAGTGACAGTAAATGAATTTAAAGTTTAGCAGGAACTTTAAATTGTTTTAATAAAGTAGATGTTTGTACCTCGATCGGCCAAGGAGGAAGAGGCTGCAGAAAGTTTGCCTCGTAGGGATAGTCCACCATAGCCAGATTCACCCAGGTCTCCTGAAGCCAGTTCTTGAAGCCCACCGCATCGTTCCTGTTCTTAAGAGGCGCGCATAAACTGAATTCCTCTGACAGCCACTGAAGACCAGATGCTTTTAAAAAGGAGCAAAAGAGGTTTAAATGTCATCACTTTAGCAAATCCATTTTCATGTAAAGTGCATTTATGTCTACTACTGGGAACTAAAATGTGACATTCTCGTTTTAATAAAGATAAACAAAGGTTATGTTGTTAGCACTTAAGGACTACAGCTCTCTTGTGTCGTTATAGGATATGATTGAATCCTCAGGATAGCTTTAACTGCAGAATGCTAATGAAATAACAATTATACCATAGTGGTTAGAGTGAAAGTGTGCTCAAATTTAAGGAGCAAATATCCAAATGAATTTGTGAGTAAGCACTTTATATTTTAACCATCAAAGTTAAATCAAGTAGCACATTTAAACTTTTTTTTTTTCTAAGCTAGGAATCTCAAGTCTTTAGGACAGATCAACCAAAATACAGCAACAAACAACAACATTAACACAATCTTCTTTTTCACATTTTTTGGGCTAACATCTTTGTGGGGGAAACTTCTGTAGCAATGGAGAGTCAGGACTCAGAGAGACACGAGGAGAGCTGGAGCTTTGATGGCAAACACTGGTGGTTTATTTGGGGTTACGGCCAGAGAATTGACAAAACAGGTGGTGTGTCACGAGTTGACCACAGCGGTTGCCAAACCAATTCTGAAGACTCTTCTGCAGCTCAGGTTTTAACTAGTTCGAGTGTTATAATCAACATTCTTCATCAGTGAGACTAAACAATTATGGACCCCTGAATCTAACTAGAGCTTCATCCATAGAAAAGAAAGTGCGCAGGGAACCTACGTCCTTGACAGTAAACTACCTCATGGCGCTTGGTGCTCTGTCATAGACTGGCAACAACAAATGCGCCCAAGGCTCCTCCTTAAGAGAGATAGCAGCAATACCCAAGGCGTAGACCCATGCCATGGGAAAGGAGACAGTGAGAGAAGAAATGATGAACTGTGTCAAAGGTAAAATACCTAAGCAAATTATTCCTTAATAATTCATTCTTAATGTTTACCATGTTTAATTTTATTTTGGCTGATAATGACAAACACCAGGAGCCTCATTTATAAAGCCTTGCGTAGGATGGATGACGTGGGAAGGTTGCTTACGTAGGACAAAGCAAAATAATCCGCACAGACATTTGGCGATTCATAAAAGACTGCGTAACCGGCGCAGGACTGCGTATGCACTTCCTACGCCGGTTTCCCTTTATAAATCACAATCGACTTGAAATGCGGGTGGCAGCTTTTGCAGCTTGCACGTAGACGCCGATGGTTTGGCCTATAAATAGTCAAGAACGCCGTATTCGGATTCATTGTTTTCCCCGGCATTGTTGAGCGACTGCAGTTAAGGTGAAGATCGCAGAAATGGCGAGCAGAAACGAGCTTAAAAAAACATCTCACACCGTGTCAGATTTTGGTTATTTTGGGGAGGCGGGAGGTAGAAGTCATATTGTTTGGTGGATGCAGTTAAGAACCAGAGTAGCAGCATGGAGGTCGGATCGGTCACCAAAATAAATAAATAAAGTGTGGTCGAAAAAAAGGTTAATGACAAAATGAATACACATAGCCTAACATTCCTCAGGCAGTGTGTTTGTACCGGACAGGGAGACACACCCTTGAGGAGAAACTGTAAGAAATGATCGGGGAATCCCTCCGGAAGGTGGATTCATGACGACTGGATCTGAGATTATTTGTTTGTAGATTTGTGTTTGGTGTTCCAGCGTTGATCAACAAACTATAGCTGATGTCCCAATTCAGAGGCTGGGTACCTCCTGGAGGACCCGAGCCTCGCTGTCGCAGAGGACCCAGCGGTTGGCCTCCGCGGACTGCGAAATGAGACGTACTACGGAGGCATGTCGCTTGTACGTCACGGCTTAACCC